GTACCATCAGAACCTGCTGAACATCTGGTACCATCAGAACCTGCAGAACATCCGGTACCATCAGAACCTGCTGAACATCCGGTACCATCAGAACCTGCTGAACATCTGGTACCATCAGAACCTGCTGAACATCCGGTACCATCAGAACCTGCTGAACATCTGGCTGGATAACTAGGCAGGATATCTACGTTCAGCCAGATGTTGCTGCTTTGAGCCCAGAGAGGTCCGGTCTGATGAGGAGGCGGAGTCTGTCTCTGATGGAAGCCATTTTTAAACGCCATCCATCAGCAGAGGAGCCGCCATCATGTCCATCAGCGTCACTGAGCCACAGGTTAGTTTACTGTTAATCTGAAACCGTCAGATTTAGTCTGATCTGCAGCCTTTAGCTGACAGACAGCAGCATCTATAAATTTAAATCCTGAATAAATAAAAGCGTTATCTTCAGTCGGCGCGCTCCGATCACAGCTCCTCAGAGGGAAGAAGGTTCTATAGGGAACCTTTGGCTGTCCGCTAATTAATCGGTTTATAATTAGCAAACTAATCGTTAGCAGCAGCAGCGCCAGTTTGCAGCCTCCCAGTGCAAAGGTTAAAGGTTAATCACCACCATGACAGCAGACCTTCATCATCATCATCATCCTTACCTTTGCTTCCGGTCAGCGAGGAGATCTTCCTGGGCTTAGCCCTGATATCATAGATGATCGGGTACTGGAACCATGGGATCCTGCAGTATGGAGACAGCACAGGTGAGGTCGTCACCATGGCAACAGCCTGCAGCCACTGATGATCTGAGAAGCTCGTTCAGGTCGGCTGATAGCGACAGGTGACCCACTGACCTCTATGGATTATTGATTTAATCAAGTTTTACTGGTTTTAGTTCCAAGGAGGACGGACTCATGTAGAAGGATTATATTTACCAACCCAGACATGGGCAATGTGGAGTCAACAAGTCATCTCCATGTCCTGTATTTAATCTACCCATCAGTTAACCAGGTGAGTCCAATCTGCACAGGTTGATTCACGGTGAAGATTGGACTCACCTGCTTCAGTGGCTGGGTAGAACAAAGACATGACATGGAGATGACTTGTTGACTCCACATTGCCCATGTCTGTAACAACCCGATGACATCATCTGTACTGATAACAGCTGTTAATGAACCTGATCACCCTGATAACCAGGAGAAACAGGGTTAAACAGGGGGAGCCCGTGGGGGGCCATGGGGCCGACCCTGGAGGAGCCTCTGTCCTTCATGCTGGATCAGGGGTTCCCAGAGCGAAGCAGAGAACTCCTGAAACATGGCGGAAGAAAAAGCCCTCCTACGGGGCGGCAGAACGTCTGACCCCTGACCAAAGCTGAGGCGACTACAGGTTGGAAACCAGGAGGATTTCAAAATAAAATATTTCCTTCAAAGTTAGAAAATGAAGCTGAGGGTCTGATGAAAACCATCTTCCAGAAACTGATGAACCTCCATCATGTGGAGGCGCTGCAGACGCTACCTGAAGTGGAGTCCCTCTGACAGGATGGTGTCCATCTGCATCCCTCCGATCCGGTTGAAGATGATGGCTCTCTGGCCGCCCTCCACTGCTCAGACAGACAGACAGACAGACAGACAGACAGTCAGACAGTCAGTCAGACGGAGCAGCTGAAGCCATAGAAACACTCAGAGCTACCGATGGATTCATGCCTGAAGGCCGCAAACATTCAGGAAATATTACTGCTTTTCTATAATTATCAGAAACTGAAAAGCTAAATTATTGAGAAAAGACATTCTTTATATTTATTTGGAGATTCCATCAGATTTATGGCTCCTGCTGTTCAAAGCTATGTGGCTAATGCTAACTGAACAGCTGC